GGCTCGGTTAAACGAGCAACAAACGAGGCAAGGTGTTTTCCTGTGCCAAACGGAAAAATCCCACAGAGAAGCTGTTTCCCAGATGGCTGTTCTCAGCTAGGGTGAGGTGGGTGACAGTGTGGGCAGCCTCGGAGCAGAGCTGGGTGCACAGGGACACCAGGCCCTGATAAAAACTCCTCCCCATCATCTCCCCTTGCTTGACCTGGGAGCCCAGGGCACATCCCGGGGAAGGAGGCAGCGAGGGGCGCAGGTGGCAGAGCAGCCGCCGTGTCCTGGCACTGCCCGGCCGTGCCCAGGCGCCACCTTCTGCCCCTGCCCTCGGGACATCTCCGTTCGCGTTTCAGGAAGCGAGAAGCCCGCAGAGTGTTCCTGACGCCCCGGCTGGACCTGCAGTTCTACCACATCCCCGTGGTGCCAGGGCAGCCCCAGCCCTCGGCGGCTGTGAGTGCCGGGGGAGAGCAGGGATCGGGAATTCCTGTCTGTCCGGGGTCCCAGGCTATGGCTGTTGGCTGTGGCTGTGAGCTGCATTTCCCCACAGGAACACACTGACCCTGAGGAGCTGTGTGAGGTGGCCGGGTACCTGGGCAGGGCTGACCCCTGGTACGAGAGCAACATCAGCACCCTGGGCCACATGATCCCCAAGCTGGCCACCATGGTAGGAGGAAAACCTTCCCACGTCCTGAAAACACCTGCAGCCCCTGGGGAGGGCTCTGTGCCCTGCAGGGCTCTCCATCCCCAGATATTTCTCAAACCCTCCCCGGGCCCTGCAGGGCTCTCCATCCCCAGAAAGATTTCCTCTCCAAACCCTCCTCAGGCCCAGCAGGGCTCTCCACCCCAGGCAGAGATTTCCCCTCCAAACCCTCCCTAGGACGTGCCCGTGTCTGACACTGCCCCAGCCCACAAAAGCCATTTGCTGTGGTGGGGTTTTTTGATCAGGGGACAGGAAATGGCAGATTTCAAGAAAGAAACCTTGTGCTGAAATCCCCCAAGCTGTCATTTCCCGGCAGTTTGAGCCACCTCTGCCAGCCTGCACAGAAAGGGCTGCGAGGGGGGCACAGCTCCCACTCCCTGTGAGTGGCAGGGCCAGAGGACAGCTCATCCCTCCCTCGGTGCCCAGGAGGGTGTGAGGCCTCATGGCAGGTTTTCTGAGAAGTGGCAGGGCTGAGCCAGCCTGTGGTTTGTCCCCCAGCCCAGCAGGGCCCTGGTGACCGACCCGTTCCTCACCGACGTCATCGCCTACTACGCCCGCNTGCGGGAGGGGCCAATCTTTCATCAGCTGCATCCGTGCCCCAGCAGCGTCTGCCACCCTGGGGACACCCTGTGTGACTGTCACCCCTGCAGAGTCCCAGCATTGTCACCCTGAGGACACGCTGTGTGACACCCCCTGAACATCCCCAGCAGCGTCTGTCACCCTGTGTCACCCTGTGCCACCTTGTGTGATATCCCCTGCACACCCTGTGTCACCCGGTGTGATCGTCACCCTTGCAGTCCCACCCCGTCTGTCCCCCCCCAGGAATGCTGCGCTGGACCCTGCACAAAAGAATGGACCAGAACCCCAGAACCAGCTGTGTCCTGGTCAGCATCCTGGTGAAGGAGCTGGAGAGGGTGAGTGCCACCCCAGGGAGGGGACAGTGCCACCTCAGAGAGGGGACAGTGCCACCCTAGGGAGGGGACAGTGCCACCCCAGGGAGGGGACAGTGCCACCCCAGGAGGGGACAGTGCCACCTCAGAGAGGGGACAGTGCCACCCCAGGGAGGGGACAGTGCCACTCCGGGGAGGGTGGCCCACGCCGGGGGCTCTGGGGCTGCTCTGCCCAGCGCAGTGAGCTGACCGTGCCTGCGCTGCCTCTGCTCCCACAGGCAGAGCGAGGGGACCTGCGGCACTACATCATCCCCCTGCTGCACACGCTGATGTACACCTTGATCCAGGTGAGGGAACAGGCTGGGGCAGCACCCGGGGACATCAGGGCACAGGAGAGGCCACCTGGAGCCACTCAGAGCCAGCAGAGCCCTGGGACTGCCCTGGGCGGGATCAGCTGGGCATCTCCCGCGTCCCTGTGGCACAGGGAGTGCCAGGCTCTGCCTTGCAGTGCCTGCAGGAAGCACAACCTGGCAAAGCAAATGTGTGCCCAGGCTCCAGTGGGCATTGCTGGAGGCTCCCAAACCCCTGCAGGGCCTGATTCTGCCCCACGTTTTACATTTAAATCCAGAATGAATTCTGTGCAGTGAGTTTGGTGCCTTCCCAGCCCGGGGGCTGTGCTGAGGCAGATTCAGGGGTCACTCCCTGTCACCTCCCTGTCACCTCCCTGTCACCTCCCTGTCACCTCCCTGTGCCCCTGCAGGCTCCCTGCATCCCTGACGAGCTCTGTGCCAGGGTTTATGACTTCTGCAAGAGGCTGCTGACCCTGCCCAAGCCCTTCTGCACCATCGGGCTGGACTATGCCAGCAGGCTGCAGCTGGAGAGGGCAGCTCCAGGTAAGGGTGGCTGGCAGGGCTGATCAGCTCTAAAGCAGCCCCGTGGGCACTGAGGTGTCACTGGGGCTGCAGGGAAAAACCCCGTGCAGGAAGCCAGCCCAAGGACACCTGTTTTCTTTTTCCCTGTGTTCTTTTTCTCTGTTCTCATTAAAGCTCCTCCAGTTCAGGTTTTCTTTGATAGGAGCCTTTCAAACAATCCTTTAGAGCAGAGCATGTGCAGACATCCTGTGAGGGGCAGGGGAAGCAGGAGGAACCTGCTGGGGAGTTTTGGTGCCATTATGGGGAGCCTCAGCCCCCCACAGCAGCCCCAGCTCTCCTCCCCAGCACTGCTTTGGCTCCAAGGGGCACCTTTGTGTCCCCTGAGCTTGGGTGCAGGGGTGGCTCAGGGTGCACAGGGGGGATCTCCAGCAGGGCTCCCCTGGGGCAGCACGGGGGTCCCAGGGGTATTGTCCCCAAGCCAGGGCAGGGATGGAGCCTCAGCCAGGGCAGGGCAGGGCAGGGCCTCTCTCCTGATTCAGAGTCCCCTGGTGCTCCTCAGATGTCCCCAGACACCGTCCCCACGCGGCCCTGGGGACAGAGCTCTCCCTCCTGTCTGCACCTCCGCTCCCGAGCTCATAGTGCCCCAAACAAAGGAAGGGAAACACAGGAAATCACCCGGAACACATGGGGGTTTCTTTTTCGGGAGCCTGGGCTATCTTTGTCCCGGGCTGTTTTTAGCTCTGGCCCAGCTCTTGGCTGTTTGAGCTGAGCTCAGCGGGTGTTCCCCGCCTTGGCAGAGCCTCCTNAGGGTTTGTGGTGCAGCACCTCGGGCTGCCCGTGCTGCTCCGGGCCAGCTGCGTGGGGCTCGGGATCTGGATCATCTTCTCCCTAATTGTCCGATCCAGATTGCCCCGGCAGAGGAAAATTAATTATTCCCGGCTGCTGGCTGCGGATTCCAGTGAAATGAGTGACTCTGAGGAGGAGAGCGAGAAGGACTGGCTGGTAAAGGCGATGAAGGATGAGAGCTTTAACAGGAATTGGATACAACAGCATGGGATCAACTAGTCTGTACCTAAATCTGTGGGGTGGAGTGGGAACCTGGCAATGATAATGTCTACAAATCACCATCAATTCTAAACTGCTGAATATATACTGCTATATCTGACAGGAGAGATTATTTTAAAAAACTCTTATAAATCTTATTTTCTTACTTTCTAACATTCTACATTTTTTGTAATTTTTCCTTTTTAACTTGATGATTTTGCTTCCAAAATCCCAAAAGGGTATTTCAGGTGTACATTGGCTAAATGAATGTAGCTGAGTTTTCAGTCACAAACCAAGCTTGGATTGTTGCTGCCAGAGCTGCTGCTGAGGCTGAGTGACAGTTGTGACCTGGGCTGTGACACCACCAAATGGAAATTATTGGCATGCTGACAGCACCAGAACCCTTCCGGGGTGGCTGTGAACTCTCTGCACTTTATAAGGGATGTGAATAAAAACCCGGTTCATTTGTAAGAGGAGGTTTTTCCACAGACTGCCAGCGTGTCGTGCTTTGTGATTTCGGTGTGTCCTGCTGGGAATCTGCTGGGAGAGCCCTGCAAGTGTGCTCAGAGCCCGCGCCTGGCCCGGCCCTCCTGGGTACTTCCCGGTGCTGATTTAAGGTGTGCCCGGCGTTCCAGGTGGCAGGAAGGGGCCTGGGCTCCCGGGCTGGGATTTCCGGGGTTGGGATGGGACGGAACACCTGCCCTCGCTCAGCCGCATCCTGCGCAGGGCTCCTGCGGCTGCTGAAACAGCCAGGCAGGGACAGCACAACCGCAGAAAGAGAAGGGGAATTTATGTCCCTTATTAACCCTCACTAACAAAGCAACACCTGGGCACAGGTGCACAGCAGCGAGCAGCGCTCGCTCCATGCCAGAGGATCTCCTTCACACTGAGTTATCCCAGGTTGTTTGTTCCCTGCTGGAAGTCACTGGTTCCCAGCCTTCCTCTTTTAACCCTGAAGAGGAGGCTGAAGCCTCTTCACCTGCCCTGCCTTCACCTCCAAGGCACAGATTCCAGCCCCTCTCCAGGAGGTAAGTTCTGCTTCTCAATGGAAAATCGGTGTTTTGGTGTCATCAAGAGATGTCAAATGGGGTTTAAATGAACCCCTTAAATGAGCCTTGGAGTCCCTTAAGGCACAGCAAAGGCTGCTGTCAGTTATCAGGTATCCCTCGGTCAGGAAATCGCATCATTCCTGTGCACAGGGATGGATTTCAGTAACATCTGCATGAGTGGCTCACAAGCCCCGAGCCAGGCAGCTGCAGAAAGCAGAATATTTATGGAAATGCACATTTATTGTGGCACATGCAAATAGCCTGGCAGTGTGTCACCGTGCCGCGCTGTGGGCTCCGCAGGAAGCGCTGGAGACAAGGAAAGGGCTCCGGGCGATAATTCCTCCCTCTGTAGGCATCGATCCCGCATTATGTGTGCATCAGATGTTTTCAGGGTAATTAGCTCCCGCTCTCCTGGCAGCGATCCTGGGTGCCTGCACAATGCTCCGCTGGAGTGGCTCCATAGATAGAGCCGTCCCCGTGCCGAGAATAGCTGGAACTTTTTATTAAGATGTTATCATCTCCAGGGAATTCAAACACGAGCGGAGCAATTTTGATGTCAAGAATTTCTCCCGGTCTTATTGTCGTGTAATACCCGAGGAACAAAGCGTGTTAATGGGGGATCTGCCTGCAGTCAGGCTCATCCCTGCACGCAGCGCATCCCGATCCTTTGTGAGCGGCACAGAAAGAGCTGGAACACTTTGAAATGCAGCTGCTGCTTCAGCTGCCTTCGTTAGAAGCCGATTACCTGGGTGAGCCGTGCCCTTTTCATCATTCTCAGCACAGCAGCGGCTGCTGGATTCCAGATTCACGGGGAGAAACCTTGCAGTGACAGGAGCCTGTCCATCCTGGAGCTGTGCAGAGGGGTGACTCCCCTGAATCTGCACCGAATGTGTTTAATGGATTGATAATCTTTAAAAAAATCCCTCATTGTGCAAGATTATCACACTGACTTTGGGCATTCCCTTAAATTCTGCCCGTCCACAGCACGAGCACATCTCCCTGAGGAGGAGCAGGGAAGGTCCCATTGAAACTCCTCAGCCTCAGAGTTCCAGGTCCTGGGCTGGGGAGGAAGCCCAGCTGCTCCTGTGCCTGATTTGAAGTTCCCTCTGCCCCGAGGATTCCATCCAACCCAGCAGCTCCAGTGGTGAATTGTATCCTGGCTTTGGGTGACTCTGGGCTGTCTGATTCACTTCCGATAAATTGAGTGTATAAAATGCATTAAACTCCGGTTCAGCCCCCAGCAGATCTGGCTGCTCGCAGTGAAAGTCATCCTGGAGAGTGCTTGCCTGAAGAACTGATTAAAGTATTTACAGGTTCATTTTCTCTGCGCTTCCGAGCTACCAAAACAAGGTGAGTCACTGCAGCCCCGCTGGCTCCAGGGCTGGGGGCGCTGATCCTTTCATCGGCTGAGAGGCAGCAGCTTCATGGTTCTCCTTCCCTGCACAGCCAAATCCCCAAAGCAGCCCCTGCACACCCGAACCAGCCCCTGCACACCCCAACACCAACACCCAAAGCAGCCCCTGCACGCCCAAGCCAGCCCGGGCAGCCGTGTCCCTCCCCTCGGCTGGGAACCAGCAGTTCCTTACAGCCCTAGGGCATTCCTGAGCGATTCCCTGGAATGCTGGAGCTCCCCGTTTGACAAGGGTCACCCTTCCAGCTCCCAGCCCACCTGCATAGCCCCCTGGCTTTGTGCTGCTCCTGGGAGAGTGCTTCTGCATTTCCAGAGGTGCTGCTGCTGCATTTCCTTCTCAGAGCAGCAGCTCCCATATCCTTTTCCCCTGTTTTTAGACAGAGACTCTTAATTTTTGCCTTGTTGTGTTTATATTCCACAGTTATCCTCAAAGAATGAAGCACCATCTCTGGCATGTGTTCTGCTTCAAATCCTTTGCCTGGATGGAGCTCTTCTTTGGCTGTTGGAGGTGGGAATTCCAGGATTTTGCTCAGGTTTGTGTTGCACTGGCTGGAGCTGAGGCTGTTGTGACCAGAGCCCACGGGCTGGTTCTGGGTGGGGTTGGATCCCCCAGACCCCCCCAGTGTCACGGTGTCTCTGCTCTCCACCCAGAGGCACTTCCCAAAGTGTCCCTGAGCCACCTCGCCGAGCTGGGGTGTGCCTCAGCCCTTGGAGCTGTGCATGGGGACATCAGTGTCACCCTGAGGCACATCCTGGCCGAGAGCTATCCCAGCAGAGGACTCTGTGTGTCCTCTCGGTGTGTTTTGGGGAGGGGGTGTTGAGGTGTGTCCCTCGCTGTGTTTTGGGGAGGGATGCTGAGGTGTGTCCCCTCGCTGTGTTTTGGGAGGGATGTTGAGATGTGTCCCTGAAGAGCCGTGAATCCTCAGCCAGGCGCTCTGGGGGCACAAACCCCCATCACAGCAGGGTTTGCCCCCCACACCCAGTCCGTCCTGGCCGTTTGCTGTGCCCAGCCTAGGGCAGTGCCCCCGGGCATTGCTGTCCTGGCCGAGACAGAAGGGAGCCCCAGGTCCTGCTGAGGTTCCTGCTGCACTCCAGCCCTTGGGGCTTGGCTCAAACTCTTGCTCTTGGGTTTTTCCATGGGCAAAAGTGGATTCTACCAGGAACCACGGCTGCCCTGGCTCAGCGGGTTTTAGGGGGTTGTTGGGTGCCGAGCCTCACCCCCGGCACCCCGTGTCCCACCCCTNTCCCCATTCCCCAGCCCATGACCCTGGAGCTCAGCTGAGCCAGTGCCCCTGGCAGGGCCATTTGGGGATCTCAGCCCAGCAAAGGGAGCCTTGAAATCCCCCCCAGGGCTCGGGGTGCTCAGGAGCCCTGTTTCTGCTGCTCTGAGTGCTGGGAGCAAGCAGGGCTCTGCTGTGCCAGCACCCCCTGTACCTGCAGGGGCTTTGCAGGGCTTCCTGCAGCACCCTTTGATGGATTTCCTGCCAGCTTTGCTCTGAGGTGCTATCAGAGCAAGGGTTGGCATTTGATAGGAGAGCAAAGTGCTAAATTTGAGCATACAACATTAACCCTTCCCTCCCTGCTCCTCTGGCAGCCCCTCCAAAGCCCAGAGCTCCTTTTATCTGCTCACTGTGGCACCTATTGCAGAGTGGCTGGGACGGGATCTCCAGGACCTGCTCTGCACATCCTACCCAGTTCAGGCCCGTGAAAAGGAAATAATCCCCAGGGTTTGGGTGAGCTGGCACTGAGGTTGGGTCAGAGAGGAACAGCGTCCCCGGAAGCTCAGCAGCGGCTCAGCCTGGCCAGGGCAATGGGAGTGACTCATCTCCGAGGGCATAGTGACATCCAGTGGCAGGGGACACTGCCCGTGGCTGGGCTGGGCAGGTCCCCGTGCCTCTGGCAAGGCTCCCCACCCTCCTGGAGCTCAGGAAACGGAGCCAGGGCAGCTCCTCACCCCACAGGGACCCTGAGAGCCAGGGTCAGCTCCCAGCCCCCCGGGGCTTCTCTGGAGAGGCTGTCCAGGGTACAAGCCTCGTGTGACACCTCAGGATGACAGAGGAGATGTCGCCAGGGGCGTTCCTGTCAGGGCTGTGTCTCTCAGGGATGTTCCTGTCAGGGATGTGTCCCTCAGGGCTGTTCCTGTAAGGGATGTGGAGGAACATCCCTGAGATGTTCGTGAGCATCCTCTCAGGACTGTTGCTCCCAGGGATGTTACTCCCAGAGCTCCTCGCAGGGCTGTTCCTCCCAGGGCTGTTCCTGTCAGGGATGTTCCTGCTAGGATTGTGTCTCTCAGGGCTGTCCCTCTCTTCCAGGTGCTGTTCCAGGACCCAGCCCAGGAGCCAGCTGAGGACGTGTTCCTGACGGAGCTGCTGACCCAGGTGCAGGACAGCCCCTCCCACAGAGGTGTGTGTGTCCCACTAGCCTGGACAGGGCTCCTGCCATGCCCAGGGCCCCCCTCAGCCTGCAGAGCTCCAGGCCGTGGGCAGCACTCCTTGTTCCTGGTCAGGCCTCCCTGACCACCTCCACCAGGAGATCAGGCTGATGTGAGCCCTGGTGGCCGCTGGCTCCTGGCCCAGCCAGGGTTTGCAGTCTGAGCCTCTGGTCGGCTCCAGGGCACTCGGGAACTGGACCTGAGCCCTGATTTAGTTGAAGAAACAAGCCGGGATTCACAGCCATATGTTTTCCTGTTAGAAACTCAGCTCCTCCAGCTGCCAGGGATAGAGCAGGAGTGCTTGGAGGCTGTGCCAGCAGTGCCACACTGAGTTCCAGCAGTGCCATCCAGCCCCTCTGTCAGTGCACTCTGGTGCCCAATCCAGGGGATGTTTGTCACTGAGGCTGGCACAGAGCCTGCAGTGAGCCTGTCCCACTGGCACAGAGCCCCAGCTGCCAAGGCAGGGACAGAAAGGACAGACTGTGACAGGAGGCCATGGTGGGACACTGGGGGGCTCAGCCCAATGGAGATCCCTCTCTGCTGAGCACAGACAGGTGAGAGGAGGGAGATCCAATCCAGCCTGGTTCCCTCCTGGCAGAGCTGAGCACGACCAAGCGGAAAAGCACCCTGGATGGGCCTGGCATGGACCTCACAGTGACCTGCAGGAGGGTGAGTGGGGCCCCTGCACCCCCAATCTCTGCTCCAGCAGGGCGCACATCTCCTAAAAGGGCACTGACCCTCCCTCCTTCCTCTGGAGCTGCTGTCTAGGCAAGGACCGGGGGCTGTGCTGGACCTGTGAGCTCCGCTGTGCTTGTGACAGGCTGTGCCCAGCCCTGCCAGGGCACTGCCAGGGCATTGATTGCCAGGGCACTGCCAGGGCATTGTCAGGACATTGTCAGGGCACTGACAGAGCATTACCAGGGCACTGCCAGGGCATTGTCAGGACATTTCCAGGGCACTGCCAGGGCTCTCCCCTTGCCCGCAGGTCGTGCTCAGTGAGCGGCAGAAGGAGCTGGCGCTGTCCCTGCGCTCCACGGGCCTGCTGATGAAAGCCATCCCTGCCGAGGAGGCTGCAGGTGGGTTCTTCCTCCTTTCTGGGGTTCCTGGTGCTCAGGGCAGTGAATCTGCCCACAGCCCTTGGTGCCAGCTGTGTCTGGCCTCTGGGGTGGAACCAGTGACAGGAATATTGCTGTCCCCACAGTCTGGTTGGGGTTTTCTCAGGAATGACTTGTCTGAGGCTCAGACAGGGTTCCAGCATGTTCCCTCTGCTCCAGTCTTCCTCTTCCAGCTGCCCCTTAGCACTGGGCCAGCTTTCCACCCCGAGCATGACCCCACACAATTCCCATGCCCTTGGAGCCTGCTGCAGTCCTGTGTGTCCATAGTGCACCCAAATGTGGGGCAGGGCCCCCAGAGCTGAGCTGAGGCTGTGCCCTGGCCCCAGCCCAACCTCTGCTTCTGTTCCAGGCCAGGGCTGCCTCACTGTGACCATCACTGAAATCATCAGGACCAGCAACTTGGCAGGACGCTCGTTCTCAGTGAGTACCTGGGGGATCCTCAGGGCCAGACTCCCCTCAACAGCAGGGAAAGGGGCAACCCTGTGGGGAGGAGAGGGCTTTGGGGCCAACCTGCAATTATTTTCTGTGGGTAAGTCTGGATGTTTAAGCCAAAGCTCCAGACACCCTGGGTGCCCTCCCTGCTGGTCAGTGCCATCCATGCTGGTCACTCTCATCCGTGCTGGTCACTGCTATCCCTGCTGATCACTCTGATCCCTGCTGGTCATTGTCAGCCCTGCTGATCAGTGCCATCCCTGCTGGTCACTCTCATCCCTGCTGGTCATTGTCAGCCCTGCTGATCAGTGCCATCCCTGCTGGTCACTCTCATCCCTGCTGGTCAGTGCCAGGTTCTGAATCCAGACAAAGGATTCTCTCTGTGTCACATCTGAGGCTAAAGAAGAAAACCAGAGCAATGCCATTGTCTGTCCCTGTCACACCAGCACGCAGCCCAGGGAGGGCAGGGACACCCTCACAGGCTCTCCCTGCTGTCCCCATGCAGGCTGTGGCACACAGGTTCAGAACTCGCAGCATCAAGGTCAGGAGCTCTGAGCAGAGACCCTTTACTGTGCGGCTGGACAAGGACAGCAGGAGAACCTACAGGGACGTGGTCGGGTGAGAATCCTGGCTCTGCACATCTCCTGCCTCCCCTCGGTCAGGGAGCCCTGGTCCTCACTCCTGAAAAAGCCTCATTCCTTCTCTAGGGACAGCAGGGACACAGGGGCTCTCCTACATTTGTGTTTTGGGAAGTGGTGTGAGGAATAATGTGTCCTTTACACAAAAGGTGCTGTCGTTGAGGCAGGAGAAAAGCAGCCACTGCTAGGGCCATGCAGAGCTCAGATCTCCTGAGCTATGAAAGTATCAGGATGCTGATGCTCTCTGCACTGCCTGCATCCCCCCCGGGCTCTCCGGCAGGGGGGGAGAGCACCCAGCCCTGCGGCCATGGCTGGGCTGATGGGCCTGGGCAGCTGCAGGGACACGGGCTGTGCTCAGGGTTCAGGGCCCAGCCAACACAAACTGTGAATGCCTGAGTCTCACTGGGCTCAGGAGCTCGGGGTGTGTCAGACACTGGCACCCAGCAGCCCATCTCTGCAGTCAGCCCCAGCTACAGAGAGCACAAATGCAGCTGTGGCTGGCAGGGGCAGAGCTGGGCTTTGCTCACAGATCCCATCACAGGAAATGTGCTCTGTGCCCTTCCAGCCTGGAGGTGTCTCCCTGCCTCGAGCCCAGCTACTGCCTGCAGAAGACAAGGACCACGAAATGCAGCCCTGAGGAAACAGAGGACGTGGGGCTGGTGAAATACCTGCCCAAGTCTCTGCTGCTGCCCATCAACACTTTTGCAGGAGTCATCCCCTGAAGGGGACAGGAAAAGGGGCTGTGGGTTACAATGTGGCCCCAGTTATGGGGAGATAAAACACTCTGAAAGCCACCAGGGGGGACTTTACATGGCAATGCTGGGGAAAGCAGAGGTAATGGGCTCGGAGGGAACAGCCCTGCACTGTGACATCTGTGACAGTTGCTGACAACCCGTGCCAAGGGCACAGCTCTGCTGGTAACAGTGTGACAGTGTGACAATGGCCCCATGCCCCTGCCAAGGGCACAGCCCTGCCCTGTGACAGTGTGACAATGGCCCCATGCCTCTGCCAAAGGAACAACCATGCCCTGTGACATGTGACCATGCCAAGGGCTCAGCTATGCCACAGGACTGAGCTTTCACCTTTTGCATAGGTCAGGGAAAAGCTCAGAGTTCTCCATTCAGGAAGAACAAGGCAGATCCGTGGGAGGTGGTGTTGTCTGTCCTGGGGAGCCCAGGGCAGCTGGCAGCAGCAATGTTCCCTTTGGAGATGTCTCACAGCCCAGCAGGGCTCAGGTTTTCACCTCGCAAGCTCTGTGTGCCAGTCTGGGGCATCAAACATTGTGCCTCGGTGGAAGCTGAGGAGCAGCAGGAGCTCTTGGGCGCCTCAGGAAACCTCTGCACGAGCAGCTGCTGTTTTTGGGATCGTGTGGGCTTTAAGGGGTGACCCCTCTGCACCCCTCTGCCTCCTCATGGCTTCCCTGTGGGGTTTGCACACACAGAGAAAAGGCTCAGAAAGCTAAAAGGCTTGGAGCTGGGCTGGGGTCAGAATTTGTTCTGTATAGCTGTAATTTATGTACATGGTTGATAAATTATTTGTATAGGTGTCATGGATGACTTGCACCGGAGGGTGCAATCCTTTTAGTGCCAATTGGAAGAAATAAAGACAAACCCCAGCTGAAGCTGCCATTGGTGGTTGTTGTGTGTTTGCACATGGCTGGGCTGCACATGGCTCCTGTGGCTCCCGTCCGTGTCCCCCGC